GACGAACCCTTGAGGCACTTTTGACGCGCCCCGTCCTTTAAGGGCCGATTAAGGGGTAAGGGGTAAGTTGCACACATCTGGAACCCGAGGCTGCGGTTAGATATTGACCCGGGGAATCGATTGCGACCCTTATTTTGGCGATCAGACGAACCCTTGAGGCTCTTTTGACGCGCCCCTTCCTTTAAGGGCCGATTAAGGGGTAAGGGGTAAGTTGCACACATCTGGAACCCGAGGCTGCGGCTAGATATTGACCCGGGGAATCGATTGCGACCCTTATTTTGGCGATCAGACGAACCCTTGAGGCACTTTTGACGCGCCCCTTCCTTTGAGAGCCGATTAAGGGGTAAGGGGTAAGTTGCACACATCTGGAACCCGAGGCTGCGGCTAGATATTGACCCGAGGAATCGATTGCGACCCTTATTTTGGCGATCAGACGAACCCTTGAGGCACTTTTGACGCGCCCCTTCCTTTAAGGGCCGATTAAGGGGTAAGGGGTAAGTTGCACACATCTGGAACCCGAGGCTGCGGCTAGATATTGACCCGGGGAATCGATTGCGACCCTTATTTTGGCGATCAGACAAACCCTTGAGGCACTTTTGACGCGCCCCTTCCTTTAAGGGCCGATTAAGGGGTAAGGGGTAAGTTGCACACATCTGGAACCCAAGGCTGCGGCTAGATATTGACCCGGGGAATCGATTGCGACCCTTATTTTGGCGATCAGACGAACCCTTGAGGCACTTTTGACGCGCCCCTTCCTTTAAGGGCCGATTAAGGGGTAAGGGGTAAGTTGCACACATCTGGAACCCGAGGCTGCGACTAGATATTGACCCGGGGAATCGATTGCGACCCTTATTTTGGCGATCAGACGAACCCTTGAGGCACTTTTGACGCGCCCCGTCCTTTAAGGGCCGATTAAGGGGTAAGGGGTAAGTTGCACACATCTGGAACCCGAGGCTGCGGCTAGATATTGACCCGAGGAATCGATTGCGACCCTTATTTTGGCGATCAGACGAACCCTTGAGGCATTTTTGACGCGCCCCGTCCTTTAAGGGCCGATTAAGGGGTAAGGGGTAAGTTGCACACATCTGGAACCCGAGGCTGCGGCTAGATATTGACCCAAGGAATCGATTGCGACCCTTATTTTGGCGATCAGACGAACCCTTGAGGCACTTTTGACGCGCCCCTTCCTTTAAGGGCCGATTAAGGGGTAAGGGGTAAGTTGCACACATCTGGAACCCGAGGCTGCGGCTAGATATTGACCCAGGGAATCGATTGCGACCCTTATTTTGGCGATCAGACGAACCCTTGAGGCACTTTTGACGCCCCCCGTCCTTTAAGGGCCGATTAAGGGGTAAGGGGTAAGTTGCACACATCTGGAACCCGAGGCTGCGGCTAGATATTGACCCGAGGAATCGATTGCGACCCTTATTTTGGCGGTAAGACGAACCCTTGAGGCACTTTTGACGCGCCCCTTCCTTTAAGGGCCGATTAAGGGGTAAGGGGTAAGTTGCACACATCTGGAACCCGAGGCTGCGGCTAGATTTTGACCCGGGGAATCGATTGCGACCCTTATTTTGGCGATCAGACGAACCCTTGAGGCACTTTTGACGCGCCCCGTCCTTTAAGGGCCGATTAAGGGGTAACGGGTAAGTTGCACACATCTTGAACCCGAGGCTGCGGCTAGATATTGACCCGAGGAATCGATTGCGACCCTTATTTTGGCGATCAGACGAACCCTTGAGGCACTTTTGACGCGCCCCTTCCTTTAAGGGCCGATTAAGGGGTAAGGGGTAAGTTGCACACATCTTGAACCCGAGGCTGCGGCTAGATATTGACCCGAGGAATCGATTGCGACCCTTATTTTGGCGATCAGACGAACCCTTGAGGCACTTTTGACGCGCCCCTTCCTTTAAGGGCCGATTAAGGGGTAAGGGGTAAGTTGCAAACATCTTGAACCCGAGGCTGCGGCTAGATATTGACCCGAGGAATCGATTGCGACCCTTATTTTGGCGATCAGACGAACCCTTGAGGCACTTTTGACGCGCCCCTTCCTTTAAGGGCCGATTAAGGGGTAAGGGGTAAGTTGCACACATCTTGAACCCGAGGCTGCGGCTAGATATTGACCCGAGGAATCGATTGCGACCCTTATTTTGGCGATCAGACGAACCCTTGAGGCACTTTTGACGCGCCCCTTCCTTTAAAGGGACCCTCCCACCTTAACATTAGTTTTGAGTTGAGATAGCCAAATTGGTGGCCATGGCCTGCAAATACCGGTTTGGGCACTCACAACATCGAGAAATGCTTTAATTCGAAGATATGGAATTTCAAACTTGCAGTTTTCGGATTCTAAGGGGCTAATGCATTGGTATGCCCCCTTAGAATTTGTGACGTCAGCGGAGATCTAACGATTTTTAAATCTTAGACTAAAACCATCGTTAACACGTGGTGGTATACGCTGCTTTGCGCGCAACGTCTGCCGCACTTTAAGGCTGCCAAATTATTGCTTCCAAATAAAGTCGCTAGTAACAGGGAGATCCCAAAAAGTAAACAAAAGTAAAAGCCTAATATCTTGAAAACCAGTGAATATTTTTCGGTGAAATTTGGTAGATATTCGTTTTCGCTCTTTCTGAACCAAGGGACATCACTTTCATGCCAATTCATTAACTTTTTTGAAGGTGGGAGGGTCCCTTTAAGGGACGATTAAGGGGTAAGGGGTAAGTTGCACACATCTGGAACCCGAGGCTGCGGCTAGATATTGACCCGGGGAATCGATTGCGACCCTTATTTTGGCGATCAGATGAACCCTTGAGGCACTTTTGACGCGCCCCTTCCTTTAAGGGCCGATTAAGGGGTAAGGGGTAAGTTGCACACATCTTGAACCCGAGGCTGCGGCTAGATATTGACCCGGGGAATCGATTGCGACCCTTATTTTGGCGATCAGACGAACCCTTGAGGCACTTTTGACGCGCCCCTTCCTTTAAGGGCCGATTAAGGGGTAAGGGGTAAGTTGCACACATCTTGAACCCGAGGCTGCGGCTAGATATTGACCCGAGGAATCGATTGCGACTCTTATTTTGGCGATCAGACGAACCCTTGAGGCACTTTTGACGCGCCCCTTCCTTTAAGGGCCGATTAAGGGGTAAGGGGTAAGTTGCACACATCCGGAACCCGAGGCTGCGGCTAAATATTGACCCGGGGAATCGATTGCGACCCTTATTTTCGCGATCAGACGAACCCTTGAGGCACTTTTGACGCGCCCCTTCCTTTAAGGGCCGATTAAGGGGTAAGGGGTAAGTTGCACACATCTGGAACCCAAGGCTGCGGCTAGATATTGACCCGGGGAATCGATTGCGACCCTTATTTTGGCGATCAGACGAACCCTTGAGGCACTTTTGACGCGCCCCTTCCTTTAAGGGCCGATTAAGGGGTAAGGGGTAAGTTGCACACATCTGGAACCCGAGGCTGCGGCTAGATATTGACCCGAGGAATCGATTGCGACCCTTATTTTGGCGATCAGACGAACCCTTGAGGCACTTTTGACGCGCCCCTTCCTTTAAGGGCCGATTAAGGGGTAAGGGGTAAGTTGCACACATCTGGAACCCGAGGCTGCGGCTAGATATTGACCCGGGGAATCGATTGCGACCCTTATTTTGGCGATCAGACGAACCCTTGAGGCACTTTTGACGCGCCCCTTCCTTTAAGGGCCGATTAAGGGGTAAGGGGTAAGTTGCACACATCTGGAACCCGAGGCTGCGGCTAGATATTGACCCGAGGAATCGATTGCGACCCTTATTTTGGCGATCAGACGAACCCTTGAGGCACTTTTGACGCGCCCCTTCCTTTAAGGGCCGATTAAGGGGTAAGGGGTAAGTTGCACACATCTGGAACCCGAGGCTGCGGCTAGATATTGACCCGGGGAATCGATTGCGACCCTTATTTTTGCGATCAGACGAACCCTTGAGGCACTTTTGACGCGCCCCTTCCTTTAAGGGCCGATTAAGGGGTAAGGGGTAAGAGCTAGGGCCAAATAAAGGTCATATTCTTGCTCCCCGTCCCCCAATTGACCTTATATGAGTTTTTTAAGCGATTCTGAATCCGACGCTGTATTCGTTGCTGTTGCTGACGCTAACTTCACGGACATCCCTTAACACCCCGTTTTACGGTACTGGAGGTTTCTGGAGCTTTGGTGAGAGCTTTCTGGAGCTTTCTGGAGGCGCTGGAACGCTCTCTGGAGGAGTCTAGAGCTTTCTGGAGGTTTCTGGAGGCGCTGGAACAGGCCCTTGGTTTGTTTGGTTTTGCATTTAGATATTTTACATTTTCAAAGTGGAAAACAAGTTTAGTTAACCATGAGCAAAACCAGAGATTTGTCTAATCTGCCTCTCTGCATTACAGCCTCTCTGCATCAGTAATATCAGAGCTGAATCATGAGGTCTGCTCGGTTAACCAAAACTATTGGAAAAATACACTAAGAAGCATTCTGGTCCATTGCATGATCTGATTACAACAGCAACAGCTACATCTCTGGTCTAGGGGTCAGTTCCTTGCAGACTCAGCCTGCCATCAGCCCTTGGTTTGATTCCTTCCCGTCTCATGCACATTGCACGTGGCCGTGGCATCTCGCTGCTGCCTGGTCGCGTGGGTATAGGCAAGGTAGTGTGAGAATTCAGATTAGCAATTGTTGGTACACTGAATATGCTACTTAATGGAAATGGCATTATGAAAAAGTTCATCGTTTTATAAGCGAATGTCATATGCAGCAGCCTAATTGTTGGTATTGGTTATCACCATTCACCAGTCACCACTACCTATATGAATTTAATTAGGGCTCAGTTATCATGCTGCTGTGTGTCTGAGGCTAACATTTGCAGCACAGAGGGACAGGTACCCATATATTTTCCTTGGTGAAAACTGAAACCTATCTATCTGCTGTGGTTAACCAAGTGTGATGTTTTGGATGATAAGATGTGTAATATTACATATTGCTATTTTTCTTCTTTCAGATAATGGCTCAACCACAAGGTGTACCTGACCGCCAATACCTGCTAAGGGTATTTCAAAGGTATTGCTTTATCTAGTAGCTGCTGTTATGGCGTTGTTTCAAGGACAGTGATTGTACATATACATATTTGAGAAAGTTATCAAGTGTAGTTCTAGAAGTGAAATGTGTATTCCTTCTTTTTCTTTTCTTTTTGCTCTTTCTATTTGTACTCTTAATACAAAGTACACCTGACCAAGAACACCAAAGGACCACAATACTTGAAGCTTTTTTCACCAAATATTTATTGTGCTGGCCTACATCTTATGCAGGTCATTTTCTGGTGACCTAGCTATTTCCAATCCATTATCCATCATTGATTTGCACCCACACTAAGTGACTGAAGTGATCAGGCCCATCCCATTGTTCATTTTTAAGTTAAAGCATTACAGATTGTGAACTGCGAAGATTGCTATGCTTTGCTGAAGCCAACCCTGGTAGCTTGTCATTGGGTTTGTAGTTCTGACTGGTACAATTACAAAGCATGAATGTTGTAGTCAGATTGTTTTATTTATGGTGAAGTCAACTAAATGTTTGCTGTCAGCTAAAGGAATCATTACTAACTTGAAATGTTTCTAACTGTTGACTGTTTTTTTCAATATCAAGCAGTTTGTGAGTTTTTCTTCCATTATTCTGCTCATTATATTTGATAACCATTATTTCCCAGAAAAAGGCAATACAAGCAGTGTTTTTATATCAGCACATGCTTCTATTTTCTTGGAACACCTTCAATTTGTTTTGACATCTGACTTTTGATGCTAGGTGTTCCAGTAAAAATCATGCTTGGAAGCCATAAGCCTGTGATTATACATGCTGTGTTATTTGCAGTGTTGACAAAGACAGAAGCGGGCACATTTCATCCGTCGAGCTAGCCTCAGCGCTGTCCAATGGAACCTGGCAGCCGTTCAACCCGGAGACTGTTCGACTCATGATAGGTAGGACAGTGCGGCCCCGGTCGGTGGGCAGACGGCCACCGCTCGCGTCCCCTCCGCCCGCCCGCCCGCGCATGTCTCCCCGTGGCCGGCACCAGCACCTCTGACGCCGTGCCGCGCCCTTGCAGTGTCGATACTGACCGCAGCGGCACCATATCTGCCCACGAACTGCAGCGCGCCCTCTCCAATGGCACGTGGAACCCCTTCAACCCGGAAACCGTGCGCATCATGATCGGTAAATGAGGCCTGCCTCCCCAATATCTCGCCGCGCCGACCGCTGGCCGCTCCCCGTGTGCGTGGTTCCAGAGATGGGCTGGGCCTGGAACACACGAATGTAAAAGTCCGCAGCTGTGCCGCCGGCCTGCCGTGCCTGCCGGAACGTACGCCATGAGCAGCGTTTTCATGCCTTTGTGTGATGTTCCGCGCATATGTTCTGCTTTTTGCTACCGTGTAGTTGGCATCATTGATCTGACATGGTTTGGCTTTAGTCCGTGATGGTCAGGATTTAGGAATCAGGATGTTGGTGCCTTTTTGCCATTTAGTCTGGTGTTGGTTGCTTGTATGCAAGAAGGTGGGAACTATAGTTGTTCCCAGTCCCGATGCTATTGTGTCGCGCCGCGGAAACCAGAGGCGCACTGACCCCATCACCCATCTTGTGAATGCTTTATTGGCACCTGTGACGCGGTCTTGTTGGTTCATGATGGCTGACCTCCTTCTGGGGCTCAAAATCCGTGATGCCACGAGTACGACAAACAAGGCAGCCCACAGCTCACTAGACGCGCCCTAAGCGTATTGTCGCCAGACGCTGCCGCGTGCCCGCCAGCCTCACCGCAGCCCCCGCTCACGTCGACAGGCATGTTCGACCGCAACTCGTCGGGACAGATCGACTTTGACGAGTTCGCCGCGCTCTGGAAGTACGTCACCGACTGGCAGGGCTGCTTCAGGAGCTTCGATCGCGACGGCTCGGGAAACATCGACCGCAACGAGCTGCGCAACGCGCTCACCACGTTCGGTTACCGGCTGAGCGAGCCCTTCATCGGCATACTGATGCGCCGCTTCGACCGCAGCGGCAAGGGCGTCATCCTGTTTGACGACTTCATCCAGTGCTGCGTGGTGCTGCACGTGAGTCGCCGGACGCCGGACGGACCGCTGGCCAACCGCCGGCCGCAGTGCGCGACGGAACCTGGGGCCCAGCGGATCACCGCTCAATGCCATGTTGATGTGACTTGAGTGGGTGCTTAACCGTAAATTAATACCTATTATTGCTAGTACGTAGATTTAGAGCAAGCGGTACATACATATGACAATCTAAGCTGAATGTGATACCACCCAACGCCATCTTTGCATGTTCTCTTTGCAAGTAATTTGATTTTAGGTAACTTTTATCGTTGGGTCCCTCTGACTCGACCTCTTCGGTTACTCAGACCTTGACGGTTACTCTCACTTTGACGGACGCGACCCGCCGAAGCCGCCTGACCCGTCTGACCCGCTGACCCCTTCTGTCCGTCTGCCCAGTCTGTCAGTCTGACCGGCTACCCCTGGCGTCTCTCCGTCTGTCATTCTGACCCCGTCTGTCCTTTTTCAGTCTGACCCTCAGGATCTGACCCCGTCTGTCCATCTGTCCGTCTGTCATTCTGCCCCTTAATCTGTCCATCTGTCATTCTGCCCAGTCTTTCCGTCTGTCCGTCTGATCCGTCTGACCCGTCTGTCCGTCTGTCACTCTGCCCCGTATGTCCGTCTGCCCCGTCTGTCCGTCTGACCGTTCGGTGCTGCCCCGTCTGACCATCTGTCCGTCTGCCCCGTCTGTCACTCTGTCCCGTATGTCCGTCTGACCGTTCGGCGCTGCCCGGCAGACGCTGACGTCGGCCTTCCGTCAGCACGACACCGACATGGACGGCGTCATCACCATCCAGTACGAGCAGTTCCTCACCATGGTGCTCAGCCTCAAACTGTGAGCCCGCTCTCTGCCGGGCCAGCTACGCGGTCCGACCGCCGCGCGCGGCCCTCCGCCGGAACGTCCGGCACTCGCCTGACCCACTGCCAGGCCAGAGGGCGGTCACGGCGCGGCTACGACCCACTGCCAGGACAGAGGGCGGTCACGGCGCGGCTGCGACCCACTGCCAGGCCGGAGGGCGGTCACGGCGCGGCTGTGGGGCACGTGGCGGCGTGGCGCGGTATCTGCGCGGCCCGTGGTGGGGACTACTGAACCTGCAGCGCCGTGTGCGGGGTGACGAGGACGGAGGTACGCGGAGAGGCTGGCGTTTGGTAAACGCGTCCCGGGGTTTCTTACTGAGACTTGTCGTGTCGATGTGCGCCTGTTCTAAATGTGACTGGGCGGTCCATATGGCCTTATTAACGCGGGTGTCAGCATCAGCTGCCATCCGCAGACTGTTAATCTTCGGTGTGATTGTGTTGGATGTTATTGAGCCTTTCTGCCATTCCAGTATACAATATGCAATGTGCATGCTTCGGTGCTTTGATATATTATGTGTGCCAATAGCCTTTGATAATTACTATTTAATCCGTCCTCCAGCTGATGGCGGATCACTTACCGCTTAAGCATTAAGCGGTTGAAAAAGATGGTTGTCATTAAAACGGTAAGCCTGTCATCCGTGCCAGGCAAGAGCGATTGAGCTTTGTCGTCAACGAATGCTGAGTGACTACGCGGTCCGCGGCCATTTCAGGGGTGACGGCCCACTCACAGCTGTCGTACAGCGTCTGAGTCCCCGCAGTCGGGACGCCTCCCATGTTGTGTGTATTTAGGTGTGTGCCATTCGATACTGCGGGGTCGAGTGGTCACACCTTTCAATCTCCCCTTACACGACCGTAATCCATTGCTGCCGCCCGAGTCTGAGGTAGGACACGCAAACGCATCTTCTCAGTGCGTCTGGCCTCTCCAGTTCAATCGCGCCTCCTATTTGGTTTGCTTTCTCGTATATGGCAGGTTTTCATACCTGCGGTAAATGTCTATATTTCTGATGAATGTTGCAATACAAAATGACCGTGCAGCGTTTCGTGACCGGGGTCGGCCTATGCCGGCGCGTCGGCGCGGGTCACGAAGTCCCGTTGGCGGTGGGTCTGCCCGCCTTCTTGAGGAGCTTCTCTCGGACGACAACGTAGAGCTGCTGGCAGGCGGTGACCAGGGAGCGCACCGACGAGTTCAGCGCTGCAGCAGACACCAGACCCTCCGAGTATAGGCAGCTCACCTACCGGGGACAGTGGGAGGGTCAGACAGCTCACCTACCGGGGACAGTGGGAGGGTCAGACAGCTCACCTACCGGGGACAGTGGGGGGTCAGACAGCTCACCTGGCGGGGACAGTAGGAGGGTCAGACAGCTCACCTACCGGGGACAGTAGGAGGGTCAGACTCAGACGACAGCTCACCTGGCGGGGACAGTGGGTCAGGCAGCTCACCTACCGGGGATAGTGGGTCAGGCAGCTCACCTGGCGGGGACAGTGGGAGGGTCAGGCAGCTCACCTACCGGGGACAGCGGGAGGGTCAGACAGCTCACCTACCGGGGACAGCGGGAGGGTCAGGCAGCTCACCTACCGGGGACAGTGGGAGGGTCAGGCAGCTCACCTACTGGGGACAGTGGGAGGGTCAGACAGCTCACCTGGCGGGGACAGTAGGAGGGTCAGACTCAGACGACAGCTCACCTGGCGGGGACAGTGGGAGGGTCAGGCAGCTCACCTACCGGGGACAGTGGGAGGGTCAGACAGCTCACCTGGCGGGGACAGTGGGAGGGTCAGGCAGCTCACCTACCGGGGACAGCGGGAGGGTCAGACAGCTCACCTACCGGGGACAGTGGGAGGGTCAGACAGCTCACCTGGCGGGGACAGTGGGAGGGTCAGACAGCTCACCTGGCGGGGACAGTGGGAGGGTCAGGCAGCTCACCTACCGGGGACAGCGGGAGGGTCAGACAGCTCATCTGGCGGGGACAGCGGGAGGGTCAGACAGCTCACCTACCGGGGACAGTGGGGGGTCAGACAGCTCACCTACCGGGGACAGTGGGGGGTCAGACAGCTCCCCTACCGGGGACAGTGGGGGGTCAGACAGCTCACCTACCGGGGACAGTGGGGGGGGTCAGACAGCTCACCTACCGGGGACAGTGGGGGGGGGGGGTCAGACAGCTCACCTACCGGGGAGTGGGGGGTCAGACAGCTCACCTACCGGGGACAGTGGGAGGGTCAGACAGCTCACCTACCGGGGACAGTGGGAGGGTCAGACAGCTCACCTGGCGGGGACAGTGGGAGGGTCAGACAGGCGACAGCTCACCTACCGGGGACAGTAGGAGGGTCAGGCAGCTCACCTGGCGGGGACAGTAGGAGGGTCAGACAGCTCACCTGGCGGGGACAGTGGGAGGGTCAGGCAGCTCACCTGGCGGGGACAGTGGGAGGGTCAGACAGCTCACCTGCCGGGGACAGTAGGAGGGTCAGACAGCTCACCTGGCGGGGACAGTAGGAGGGTCAGACAGCTCACCTACCGGGGACAGTGGAGGGTCAGGCAGCTCACCTACCAGGGACAGTAGGTCAGGCAGCTCACCTACCGGGGACAGTGGGAGGGTCAGACAGCTCACCTACCGGGGACAGTGGGGGGTCAGACAGCTCACCTACCGGGGACAGTGGGAGGGTCAGGCAGCTCACCTACCGGGGACAGTGGGAGGGTCAGACAGCTCACCTGGCGGGGACAGTGGGAGGGTCAGACAGCTCACCTGGCGGGGACAGTGGGAGGGTCAGGCAGCTCACCTACCGGGGACAGCGGGAGGGTCAGACAGCTCATCTGGCGGGGACAGCGGGAGGGTCAGACAGCTCACCTACCGGGGACAGTGGGGGGTCAGACAGCTCACCTACCGGGGACAGTGGGGGGTCAGACAGCTCCCCTACCGGGGACAGTGGGGGGTCAGACAGCTCACCTACCGGGGACAGTGGGGGGGGGGCAGACAGCTCACCTACCGGGGACAGTGGGGGGGGGGGTCAGACAGCTCACCTACCGGGGAGTGGGGGGTCAGACAGCTCACCTACCGGGACAGTGGGAGGGTCAGACAGCTCACCTACCGGGGACAGTGGGAGGGTCAGACAGCTCACCTGGCGGGGACAGTGGGAGGGTCAGACAGCTCACCTACCGGGGACAGTAGGAGGGTCAGGCAGCTCACCTGGCGGGGACAGTAGGAGGGTCAGACAGCTCACCTGGCGGGGACAGTGGGAGGGTCAGGCAGCTCACCTGGCGGGGACAGTGGGAGGGTCAGACAGCTCACCTACCGGGGACAGTAGGAGGGTCAGACAGCTCACCTGGCGGGGACAGTAGGAGGGTCAGACAGCTCACCTACCGGGGACAGTAGGAGGGTTAGGCAGCCCACCTGGCGGGGACAGTAGGAGGGTCAGGCAGCTCACCTACCGGGGACAGCGGGAGGGTCAGACAGCTCACCTGGCGGGGACAGCGGGAGGGTCAGACAGCTCACCTACCGGGGACAGTGGGAGGGTCAGACAGCTCACCTACCGGGGACAGTGGGGGGTCAGACAGCTCCCCTACCGGGGACAGTGGGAGGGTCAGACAGCTCACCTACCGGGGACAGTGGGGGGGGGGGGTCAGACAGCTCACCTACCGGGGACAGTAGGAGGGTCAGACAGCTCACCTACCGGGGACAGCGGGAGGGTCAGGCAGCTCACCTGGCGGGGACAGTGGAGGGTCAGGCAGCTCACCTACCGGGGACAGTAGGAGGGTCAGGCAGCTCACCTACCGGGGACAGTAGGGGGGTCAGACAGCTCACCTACCGGGGACAGTGGGAGGGTCAGACAGCTCACCTACCGGGGACAGTGGGAGGGTCAGACAGCTCACCTGGCGGGGACAGTGGGAGGGTCAGACAGCTCACCTACCGGGGACAGTAGGAGGGTCAGGCAGCTCACCTGGCGGGGACAGTAGGAGGGTCAGACAGCTCACCTGGCGGGGACAGTGGGAGGGTCAGGCAGCTCACCTGGCGGGGACAGTGGGAGGGTCAGGCAGCTCACCTACCGGGGACAGTGGTCAGTGGGGGGTCAGACAGCTCACCTACCGGGGACAGTAGGAGGGTCAGGCAGCTCATCTACCGGGGACAGTGGGAGGGTCAGACAGCTCACCTACCGGGGACAGTAGGAGGGTCAGACAGCTCACCTGGCGGGGACAGTTGGAGGGTCAGGCAGCTCACCTACCGGGGACAGTGGGAGGGTTAGACAGCTCACCTACCGGGGACAGTAGGAGGGTCAGACAGCTCACCTGGCGGGGACAGTTGGAGGGTCAGGCAGCTCACCTACCGGGGACAGTGGGAGGGTCAGACAGCTCACCTACCGGGGACAGTAGGAGGGTCAGACAGCTCACCTGGCGGGGACAGTTGGAGGGTCAGGCAGCTCACCTGGCGGGGACAGTAGGAGGGTCAGACAGCTCACCTGGCGGGGACAGTAGGAGGGTCAGACAGCTCACCTGGCGGGGACAGTGGGTCAGGCAGCTCACCTACCGGGGACAGTGGGGGGGTCAGACAGCTCACCTGGCGGGGACAGTAGGAGGGTCAGACAGCTCACCTACCGGGGACAGTAGGAGGGTTAGGCAGCTCACCTGGCGGGACAGTAGGAGGGTTAGACAGCTCACCTACCGGGGACAGTAGGAGGGTCAGACAGCTCACCTGGCGGGGACAGTTGGAGGGTCAGGCAGCTCACCTACCGGGGACAGTGGGAGGGTCAGACAGCTCACCTACCGGGGACAGTAGGAGGGTCAGACAGCTCACCTGGCGGGGACAGTTGGAGGGTCAGGCAGCTCACCTGGCGGGGACAGTAGGAGGGTCAGACAGCTCACCTGGCGGGGACAGTGGGAGGGTCAGACAGCTCACCTACCGGGGACAGTAGGAGGGTCAGACAGCTCACCTGGCGGGGACAGTTGGAGGGTCAGGCAGCTCACCTGGCGGGGACAGTAGGAGGGTCAGACAGCTCACCTGGCGGGGACAGTGGGGGGTCGGACAGCTCACCTACCGGGGACAGTGGAGGGTCAGGCAGCTCACCTGGCGGGGACAGTGGAGGGTCAGGCAGCTCACCTGGCGGGGACAGTAGGAGGGTCAGACAGCTCACCTGGCGGGGACAGTGGGAGGGTCAGGCAGCTCACCTACCGGGGACAATAGGGTCAGGCAGCTCACCTGGCGGGGACAGTGGAGGGTCAGGCAGCTCACCTGGCGGGGACAGTAGGAGGGTCAGACAGCTCACCTGGCGGGGACAGTGGGAGGGTCAGACAGCTCACCTACCGGGGACAGTGGGGGGTCAGACAGCTCACCTACCGGGGACAGTGGGGGGTCAGACAGCTCACCTACCGGGGACAGTGGGGGGTCAGACAGCTCACCTACCGGGGACAGTGGGGGGTCAGACAGCTCACCTGGCGGGGACAGTTGGAGGGTCAGACAGCTCATCTACCGGGGACAGTGGGAGGGTCAGACAGCTCACCTGGCGGGGACAGTAGGAGGGTCAGGCAGCTCACCTACCGGGGACAGTGGGAGGGTCAGACAGCTCATCTACCGGGGACAGTGGGAGGGTCAGACAGCTCATCTACCGGGGACAGTGGGAGGGTCAGGCAGCTCACCTGGCTGGGACAGTAGGAGGGTCAGGCAGCTCACCTACCGGGGACAGTGGGAGGGTCAGACAGCTCATCTACCGGGGACAGTGGGGGTCAGGCAGCTCACCTGGCTGGGACAGTAGGAGGGTCAGACAGCTCACCTGGCGGGGACAGTGGGGGGTCAGGCAGCTCACCTACCGGGGACAGTAGGAGGGTCAGACAGCTCACCTACCGGGGACAGTGGGGGGTCAGACAGCTCACGTACCGGGGACAGTAGGAGGGTCAGGCAGCTCACCTGGCGGGGACAGTAGGAGGGTCAGACAGCTCACCTGGCGGGGACAGTTGGAGGGTCAGGCAGCTCACCTACCGGGGCCAGTGGGAGGGTCAGACGGCTCACCTGCCGGGGACAGTGGGAGGGTCAGGCAGCTCACCTACCGGGGA